ATAATATTAATATTTTAAAAATATAAAGGCGATACGTCTGATATTCAAATTCTAGAGAACGTGGATTTGGATATTCACGTGTATCAACTTAACGAAGATGATGTAGTAGAAGAATATCAGGAAGAGGAAAACGTTTTAACAGCTAACTATTGGGATTTACCAGCACGAGCACTCGACGGCTTATGGGATAAGTAAGTAGTAATAAAGAGTTTATTTTAAATAAATAAATATATATATATGTATATAGGAATTTAAGAATAATAATATTTTAATTTTCGAACAGTCTCATATTTGACGAAAATATTAAAACTCGATTGCTTGATTACGTTTACACGACAATTTTATTTTCTGATCGAAATGTGAATTCAAATATTATCTCATGGAACAGGTGAAATTTCTTATCCGCGTAATTCATACGCGTTTTCAATACTCATTTAAATTTATATAAAATTTTTTTTTAGAATTATTCTGTTGCATGGACCACCAGGAACAGGAAAAACAACACTTTGTCGAGCTTTTGCACAAAAATTATCTATTCGATTAGCGGAGAGGTAAGAAAAATTATAATGATTATATATTAATACATTATGCTAATCTTTTTTTTCGTAAAATAGATATTCTCATGGAAAGTTATTTGAGATAAATAGTCATAGCTTGTTTTCTAAATGGTTCTCTGAATCTGGAAAACTGGTACAAAAATTATTCCAACAGATTTACGATTTGATAGATGATGATGATGCATTTGTTTGTATTTTAATAGGTAAAATTATTATTCTAAAATTATTATACAAGTTATTCATTCATTCATTATTAAAAGAAAATTTACAAGGGTAGTATTGTGTATCTTTATGTATTTTAGACGAAGTGGAAAGTTTGGCAGCTACTAGAAGATCTGCGTTATCTGGAGCAGAGCCATTGGATGCAGTTAGGGTACTTACAATATTTGGTTATACCCCTTAATCAACGAATTATAAATAACAACAACTATACATATTATCAGGTTGTCAATGCCTTATTGACACAAATAGATAAATTGAAACAAGAAAAGAACGTTCTTATACTGACTACTTCAAATATCACAGAAGCAATAGGTATATCATTATCAAAAATATACATATAATATCTCAAAAACTTTAATAATCTTCATCTAAACAAATGATATATATATTTACAATATACTAAGATTATTTAAAGCAATTTGTTTTTTGGGGGTTTGGGATTTGTCAACAAGTATACATATATATATATATATACAAAATTTAACATTTAATGTAACATATGTAGACATTGCCTTCATTGATCGAGCCGATATCAAACAATATATTGGTTTGCCGTCACAACAAGCCATTTATGGAATCTTATCAAGCTGCATAAGGGAGTTAATGAGGGTTAAAATAATTGCTGAGGAGGTAAATAATTGGATTGAATTCACAAATCATTTCGAAGTATATTAAATTTCTTTATTTATTAAAGGCGTTTCTGCTTGACTGGCGTGCTGTGGAATTATACCAGCATACAAATAGTATTGATGATCCAAGCATTAGACTTTATGCTATTTGCGAAAAATGTCAGGCAAGTAAATATAAGTAGTAAAATAAATTTTTTTTTCCATCGGACATATATCACACATTTATTACATTTATTAGGGAATGAGTGGACGTACATTACGTAAAATGCCATTCTTAGCATACGCCCACTTTCTAAAATCGTGGGCCACGACGACATTGAAAGACTTCTTGAAAGCCTTAGAACATGCAGTGGATAATGAAACTATTGGAAGAAAATTAACATTGGAAAATCAAGGTGAAGGCGGCACATGTAAAATGTTGATTAATGAACGAAATTAATTTTATTTAATTATTTGAATAATAAGAATAATAGAAATGTGACATCAATGTTATTTGTTATAATAAATTATGGTATCGGTATGTTTGAAACTACGTAATTCATGACTATATAATAACTTATTAAAGAGGTTTTTATTCCCTACTTAAACTACCTACGTATTACGTACAATGAATGTATTGCTTTGAATACGTATAATAAAATATAATAAATATAATAAAATTTTACTCTAATTTATGCGCTTTTATTATCCTAGACAATAATACAGTAAATATTAACCAGAAATTCATAAGACATAATATAAAATGTACAAAGTTATATGTAATAAATAAAATTGAAAATTGATATTATATTTACTAGATAAAATAATATATTCAATAAATAAATACTGTAAATAACTTATATATAATCGTTATTATCGTTATGAAACCATCTTCCAGCACCTCCATATCTTTCCATTTGCCTGGTAACAGTTCGAACATTTGTAGCATTATTAACAACTTCTTCCTGAGTTTCCTCTTTTTGAGTTTCATCTTCAGATTCTTCACCTTTTAATTTTCTAATTTCTTTCTTTAATTCTTTAATTTGAGAATTCATATCATTAAATTGTAATTGAAAACCTTTTTGTATATTAAGAACAAAGTGATAAAGATCATCAATAGTTAATTCATGAGTAGCCTGTTCAACAGACTTTGTTTCATCATTTTTATCAAAATCATCAGGAAAATATTCAGCAGGAAGTTGATGAGAAATTGGAGAAGAAGGAGCTAAAGTAGGAAGTGAACTAAGTAAAGATTGAGACTTTTCAGGAGTAGGATCAGATAAAGATCTATTTTGAATATCTTTAACATTATTAGGTTTTTTAAATTTAAAACGAGAAGTAAGAGTTTTGCCAAGATTAAAATAATTTTTTCTTTTTTGTTGAGATTGATAATCAAGAGGTAATGGTTTTTCAATAATATTACTATTAATAGTAGGAGACATTGAAGAAGTTTTTGAAATTTCATTATTATCTAAATAATAACTATTTGTTTTAGGAGAAAGTGGTGGTGAAAGAGGACGATCATTATTTGGAGAAGAAATAAAAGATTCAGGATTAGATTCTTCATATTCATCATTATCAGAACGTTCATCAATAAGAAATGTATTTCTTTCAGGAATAGGTGATGGCATTTCAGGTTGTTCATTCTCTATATATTCATCATTTACGATATAAGTATCTCGACCAGCTGTTCTATATCGATCATCATAAGCCTCATGATATTGAAAAGGAATGTTTGGTAGACCTTTTTGACGGTTAGAACGAAGATTACTTGAGGTATTCATTTAATGTCTAAGAAATAAAAGGTTATTATTAAATAAAAAGTTTTTAGGCTCAGCCTTTATTTGATTTATATATTTGATTTATTTGATTTATTTGAGGTATGAAAAAAATTAAGAAACAAGAGTAAAGTAATGAAAAGAAGAAAAAAAAAAAAAAAAAGAAAAAATTAAATTAATTCTGTCGAAAAAATTTTCAGAAGTAACTTAATTAAATATTCATTTTCTACAATTGAATAAATTGGAATAAGAAATAAAGACTGAAACAACTTGTCCAACTTGTGCTACGTCATATATAATATAAACGGTATTGATCAACTTGTATTCATTTTCTGAGACCCCTTTCTTATCCTACTGTAGTAAAAGTGAAAACAATGCGTACATTAAAACCATTCATATGAATTAGCATAAACAACCTGATTACGATAAAAAATTCTTTTCACGTCATCTCTGTCAGACTTTGACTGTGCCTTATAATATCGTTAAAAGCCAACATGTAATTCAAAGTTACACGGAGATAATTAAATGTATGTCTATTAATCTTAATATAGGGATGATTCACAAGCCTATTTGTATTACTTTTTTGTAAAAATTAATTTAATTAAATTATATGCATACCGATATGTATCGGTACTATATCTAATATTTAAATTAAAGTTTTTTCTATAATGATAATTAAGGAATTTCAATATTAC